GAATCAATATACCCGCTTTATGCAAAATATCAACTTTGAAAATTGACCTAATTTGACCTGACCTTGACCTGACCTTCACTAGAACGTAACCTTAACTGGCCCCAAAGGCTGCCTGACCCACATTATCGCATTTGTTATGTAAAATGAACCATAAAACATGGATTACACGACACTTTCATATTGTGACCCCCAGTGACCTGACCTCTGTGAACTGACCTGTTTTCAGTGACCTCAGATAGCAAAGTATCTGTTTGACGAACAATTTACCATCGATGATTTTCAATAACTTACCAATTTACTCATTTCACAACACATTTCTTGAAATGCCTGTGAACGGTGAAAATCCGACCTTTGACCTGACCTGTGACGCCATCGGTTTGTTTGACAGCGATAAATGAAATTTGGTCACAAGGTAGTTCCCCGGTGGGGCTATCGAACGCCGTTTGAATTTTGAAAATCGGCCGGTAGCTTTCCAAGATCTTAGGGGGGGGGGCGAAACGCCCCCCCCCCCTACGGGTCCACCGATAACCCTACGGGGCGCGGGTTAAACGCCTCTAAGCCTCTACATATGCCTGAGTGAGATTGCATCGTCGTGGCGTTTCTTGTACGCTCGTCAGTTGTTTGTCTCCAAAACGGTGCGCCGCAGAGCGCCAAATTCAGCAGAGCTGCAATAAAATCAAACCGTACAACTGACAAGTTTGAAAGCTTAACCCGCGCCCCGCTGGGGGGGGGCAGAATCTGCCCCCTCCCGTTTTTCGCCAATAACTTCTAAACGCGTTACGCCAGCGACGTCAAACTTTCAGTACCTTATCATTCATCAATTTGACACGTTCCCTGAAAAATTGAGCGAAATCCGTCCGAAAATTATGAGGAAATGACGCTTTAGTGACGTCATGTTCGCCATTTTCGCCTCAAAAACGGCAAAATTTCAAGCGCCGCTAACATCTTCATTTTTAAAGGAATCAAGATGTAACAAAAAGGTTATACGTGATTTTACTTTGTCTATCAAATGGCTATCTCGGTTTTTTGAAAATTTTGGATTTTGACCCAAGTTTAAAAAAAAAATGATTTTTTGGGGGGGGAAAGAAAATTATAAAATCCAAAATTTTGAGTGCATCGAAAAAACGGAATATATGTCAGAGAAGTGGTCTATGTGCACCTAGGTACATACCAATTTTTAGAAGAATCGGTTCAAAAATGTGGGAGTTATTCAAATTTTTTTATGACGTCACAACACACAATATTTTCGAAAAATGAATTTTTTGGAAGTTATAGACCTCGTACGGAAACAAAAATAGCACCATTCAATTCGCCGTGAAAAACTGCATCAGATAGACACCTTTTTAGGCCTTAACAACCAACTTCAAAATTTGACCTCACTTGACCTGACCTTGACCTGACCTCGACCTGAAATCCATCCAGAGGTGGTCCATATCACTTATTGAGTGTGCCTATTGAATTCTATGCGTAAAATGACCCATAAAACATGTGTCGCACATGCCCTTTTCTATATTTTGTTTTTGGTGACCTGACCTGACCTGACCTGAACTTGACCTTGAACTTTGAATGATATTGTATGCAACGAAACTTGTCTTGGTAGCCTAAGAACACGTTTTGGGCAATCAGTCTCAGTCCATTCTTCGGCAACTACAGTGCAAGGCCGATACTGTAGAAGCTTGCATTTTGTACCCTTGACCTGACTTTGACCTGACCTCTGACCTACTTAAGCAAAAAAATAGTTTCTTAAGATCCGCCTTGTTGAGAGCGTTCGATTGCCGTTTTTCCCGTCTTTCTACGACCATCGGTTCGGAAGTTCGACAGGGGGGCAGAATCTGCCCCCCTCCCCCAGCAGGGCGCGTATGGCTGAATAGCCCAGTGGGGCGTGGGCTATTCAGCCCTCGCCGGCACAGGCCATTTTGCGTCCCTCGTCGGCACAAGGGGGGGGGGTTGGTACGACCCCCCCTCGCGTTTGGACCCTGATCGAGCTAGAGCTTCGCGGATAAAACGAGCGTGTTGCCCGTCACGAGACGAAGCCGATGATACCCAATTTTAAGGTCCTAGGTCATCGGGTGACCTTCCAAGTCAGGTCAATGACCCGAAAACCGGGAAAATCGGAACCTGTTAGAAAGTCGTAAAGTGTGGCTGTTATGTGGTTTTCCGGGGTACTGATCACGAATATCGTGTTAGTTTTGATCAGAGATGATGTCTTTAAGCATTTAGACCAGGTCGGGTCAGGTCAGGTCAGGTCAACCGGTAGGGGTTGTGACGGGTATTCGAAATACATGTCAACCGCCTCTGACAGCTTTGTAACATGTTACGAAGGCACCAAAACTACTTCGTAAATGTTCAAATGGTTGCTAAATTCGAATTCAGCTCCAAAAACTAGCCTAGAAACATGTAAAACTCGAAAAAGTGAACCGAGGTCACACGAGGTCACCAAAGGTTGATGACCTGACCTGACCTTCAGGTGACCTTGACAGTTGACACCCACCCAAATGTCTGGAAGCAACATCAAATCACATGTTTGAACGTTTGAAACCACGAAAAGCTTGCAAACGCGCGGCTAATGCGAGCCGACATACGCCGAATCGCGATTCCGGCCAAACATGGTCTCGGAAAAGAGGTCACAGGTCAAAGGTCATTTGGGTCAGGGTCATGAAATTTTCAGGGTAGGTGTAAAATTGATCAATGCTAGGGTACTGAAAGTTTCGTCGCGCTCGGCCGCTTTTTACGCGAGTTATTCGCGAAACACCTTAGGGGTTTTGCATACCCCCTCCTGTGCCGGCGAGGGTTAAACGACTATCTTTAGGTTTTAATTAAGTTATGGCGACACAGTTTTGGTTTGGACAACAATTTAAGCATGCTCCGCATAATATTTGTTAGGAATCATATTGCCGATAATGCAGGCATTTTATAACCGCGTTTCGTTACCGTTTGAAAATTAAAATCGCCAATTGTCTGTTCGAATGTCGCACATTTTCGAGGTTTTGTTCTCAGAATAACACTTTGTGGGACTAATTTCACTTTAGTTGTAAAAAGTTTAACTTACTTTAGAAGCCTCTCGAAGGAACAACAGTGTTGGTCATAATAGCTATATCTGTATCAAGATATCCTAATGCGCCTGGATAAGTCACAACAACTTTGCAAATAATTTCATATAATTTGATTACGGAACAACGCAGTGCTATTGGGAATCAAATGCGTCGCCCTGTGTTACCTCCACCGATAGTTTCCTATTGAATGATAAACTTGGTGAGAAAAGTAAACAATAGTCTGAGTTTTGGGATTAGGCCTGCATTAGGAAATGCAGCAGTCAGACACATTATAACATCTCTGAATGCGTCTTGGCGTTAATTGGCTAAACTTTTCTGCTCCCTGTTGACTGCATCCAGCGCTGTTTTCGTCTGACGATAGATAATGCCTCGGAAAGCCGACGCGGCCGATTCGCTTGATGCGGGCTCGCAGGGGGAGCGTGCCGTAATCGTGGGTAATTTGTTTGCCGCCGCTGCGCCGCGCCGCGTCTGTCGTCGCCGTCGCTCGCAGGGAAGCTGCGGCATTCATCCGACGCTCGGCCAGGATTATAGCGGCCCCCGGCGGTGCGTGGGCCCGCGGCGAGGGCCGACGGAGCCGTCCTGACGTGTGCCCGCCTGTCTGCGACGTCTCACAGCCGGGTGCCGCCGTCTCCGGGCGATATACAGCCGGGCGCCGCCGGCCGGCGCCTGCTCCCGGCGTCCGGCTCCGGGCTTCATTCAGGTCGGCCGGTCGATCGGCTCCTGGCGGCGCCAGCTCCCCTTCGCAGACGGCGCCGCGGCCGGCGATCAAATGGCCCGCCCGCCATTCGGCGACTCCTCCAAAGCGCCGTACGGCTGCCGTCGGTCCGGCCGGGCTGGGCCGGCAGCCGCGGGCGGCTGGGCCGGCAGCGTATGTACGCCGGCGGCGACGGTACCGACGCGCGTGCGCGGCCTGTCGTCGGTGCGCCGGCCGTATCGGCGGCCGAATCAGTGCAGTGTGGCAGGGGGATTTGTCGGGCGGCGCGGGCGGAGCGCCGGTTCCGGTCCTCCGGCCCTCATCACCGCCGGCAGACTGGGGCCAGCTGGAGCCGCTGCTTCTGCTGATAGCAGTGCGCTTTGACGTGAGCGTAAGCAATTGAGCATTCTTCAGTTGTGTTTTGGTCTGGTAGATTTGCTTCATTTTGTATTATTCGTCCATATGTGTTTATTTTTGTGCTTTCCTTGTTCTCGCTTATTTGCTATCCCTTATGATATGTTCACCGCTATGAGAGGAAATAGTTATGATTGCTGCGGTCATGATGCGGTCGTATTCTCTTCGTTAGGTACCGTACTTTCCGCATTCAGTCTCCAAATCCAAGCCGTTATAAAAACCAGCTTTACTTTTGCAAGATAAAGTAAGATTAAAGTACCTATTCAGGTATTCCTGTTTGGCCAAAAACATCAAAATTGCTGAATATCTTATTGTTTACTTTGTGCCTAAATCCCGGTGATATAAGCCCTAAGTTTTCAAATCCGAGAGAGCAACCATTGTTCATTTTTTTTAGTTTGACCAACTTTTTTTGCGCCAAAAACAAAATCAAACGACGCTAATCATGCCTTGCTTGATATCGCTTTGAACGACTTCATTTCAGGTACATAAATACAACATCAAAATACGTGTACGTGTTCGTGTACGTGTACATCTGCTGGCCCACGAAAGTAGGACCTAGCAGCCTACTTTCGTACGCATTTATGAAATAAAAGTAAAAGAGCGCACTGTCCATCGCTAGTTAAAATTCACGTGAGCGGCTATTATAAAAGAGATATGCAATTAGCGGATGACATTCTCAGAACTGGAGTGTCTCATTTGCACCCAGAGTAAAGCCATCAACGTTGGCGGAGCAGTCAGCTCTCCGGTAAATGAGACTCGATGCAGCGTTTGCACTGTATTTATTGGGCCGGTGCTGCAGCGCAATGCAAACACTTGCCTTTGTCGCCACAGGTCGCCCGTTGAACACACTGAGACGCCAGAGTACCATCTACGAGACCAGTGAGAGAGCTGGACCACCGAACAAGCCGTACAACGCTCCTAAAAGGTCAGTCCAGAGCACCAAGGTGATCTCTTGAATGGATTCAGCTCAGTTCAGTTCAGTACAGTATACACTACATATACAGTATATTTACAGGCCATTCCACATGGTGGGTTGATGTCATACCTGAGTCAAAATACATAAATGAGACATCGATTAACCCGCGCCCTGCTGGGGGTCCTGGATTTCCACGCCCTGCTGGGGGGGGGGGTGTTTGAACACCCCCCTTGTAACTCGGCTCCTGGGCCACGTAGCGATACGCGGAAGGCGGCGTTCGAAAGAGCGTAAAAAATAATGACGAAATCACTTCGGTCAATTTTTTGGTCAGGTCAAAGGTCAGGTCACCAGAGGTCATTGAAGGCAAAATTTCGCCGATTTCCAGGTCGAATGTCGAAAATTTCCAAGAAGCCAACGCATAACTCGGGAACCAATAGAGCTACAGCGCCGCGGAAAAGCGCATTCGATAGCCCTATTAACGCCCTTTCTGAGTAATTCTCTCAGATTTGACCTAACGTCAACGGTTTTGCCTGCAGGGGGCAAAAACTGCAAAAATAGCCGATTTTTTTGAAAACAGTTTTTCTGCAATAACTTTTGACCCAAGCCTTGTACGAGCTTACTTTTACCGGCATCGTGTTCCTCTCGTCAAGACGCATCGAATGAACTATAACTTGACCTTGAAAGGTCAACTTGAAAATTTGACCTCAGGTCAAGGTCATGACCTGACCGGAAAGGGTCATGTTGCATATCAGTCGATCCGTATCGTCGAGCTGAACACATCTAAGGCGTTTTCATCGCTCTAGCATGCCTCTATCAAAAGTTATTTGCGAAAAACTGTTAGATACCATTCGTGACCTAAGATGACCTCAGGGCATAAACAAGGGTCACGGACACCATTTTTAAGTTCAGTGTGTCTAAACCACTTGTAATTCGGTGTTTGGGAGTGTTTATAATGTCTTTCATCCAAAAGAGGCGCATTTCAATTTTCTCCCATTGACTTATAATGGGGAGGTCGCAAAATTGACCTGACCTTAGGTCATCGATATCAAAATTCTGAGATATACATTTTGTACATGCTATTGCTCTTAGCAATCGCTGAAGGTTTCAAAGCGATCGGTCACTCGGTGTAGCTATGACAGACATTGAAAGTTTTTATGAGGTGAGGTCACTTCAAGTGACTTGGTGACCTGACCTTGAATGACCTTGGTCTGAAATTTTCACAACATGTGTAGAATTGATGTATGATGGTCGCCGTTTTTGAGATATTCGCGAAAAACCACAAGGGGGGGTGTTCAAACACCCCCCCCCCCCCCAGCAGGGCGCGGGTTAAAAAAGAGTGTAAAAGAAACACGATGCACACTGCTGGGTAAACATAAAAATTAAAAGTACCTACGTTTCGAGATCGTTGCAGATTCGAAAAGCAGATTCGGGATCGTTCCTCTACTGGGCATTTAATTACGTGTCTTACCTTTCCAATTATAAGTTATTGAAGTTCAAAGCTTAATTATGTTATCACACTGACTACCTTTACTGGCTATCTTGGCTATCTTGACAATTTATTTTAGTGCATGTCCAGTGTATACGCGCGGCGTTGTCCCTTCTGGAGCGGACCACGTAATCAGCGCATTGATTGAAGCAAAACCTAGCAGGGAACTTCATTTAATACCCAATTCCTGGTGAAGCTCGCATTTAAGACAATTATTGGGAAATCGACCTCAGATGCGGATGTGGGTGTGATAATTTCCTGGCAGTCTGAGCGACAATGTAATTAAACAGAATGCAGTAGCATCTACCGAAGCGGATTATTTTCAGTAACAGTAGTACAAGGCGTAACAGTAGTTGCACATAGCAACTACTGTGTTTCGTAGAGTTCTTTTTTCGCCTATACCTATCATTTCGACGGAAATGTTTTTTTTGTCAAAACTTGCGTCACTTAAAGGTGCTTTTATCCAGTATCGGAAATGCTAAAACGAATTATCAGCTAAACTAAGAGCTAGGAGCATAACTATTAGCAATGAGCTACAGTGAAGGGTATAGGGCTTTTCACCACCTTGATGCATCACGAACCTTGATTATAGAATACGAATCCTATTTCTGTGCTTATGCTTAAGACTTTAATCTCCGCATCCAGCCGATTGCTCAGGGTTCTTCGCATATTGCACAGACAGTAAGATGCAGGAATTATATATCGCAAATCGTTGTATACCATTTTACATAGCGACCGCCAGTAGGCACCGACTGACATCCAAACCAGTTCACACGATGCATATATAGTTCTTCTCAACATGTCTCGTTTGACGTTGTCGCCTGGCGGTTCAACAACATCGACGCTGAAAATGCGTTTTTAAGTTTTATTTCAGTCTGCCTTTTCAGACGGATGTAACGCACTTTTGTTAGCAGTCACTATCTGGATGCAACTATATTTGTACCGAATTTGTCAAGGCGATGAACCCATTACCGGCAGCAGTTAAGACGATTAGACGGGCATAAATGCTTGTATTGATTGTTCAGTCTCATGCCTTTTCAGACGGATGTAACGCACTTTTGTTAGCAGTCACTATCTGGATGCAGCTTTATTTGTACCGAATTTGTCAAGGCGATGAACTCATTCCCGGCAGTAAGACGATTAGACGGGCATAAATGCTTGCCAAGCATTGACACTAAATGGCAGTTTGCGGTGGCCAACGTCAGCTTAGATTATCCTATCCAGTATCCTTCTTGACACCGCCTAGTTAACTTGGCGTTTTAGCTTCGCCGACACTTTCTCACGCTTATTTCAGTTGGTTATTTTCAGTAAAAGTGGGTTAGTTTTATGACCACCGACAGAGCGTTTGCGGCTCGCCAGCTAACCCGGCGAGCTTGAGTGGGTTCAACAGGACTCGCGGGCTGTTAAGAAGTAGACGCAGCAGGCTGCGAGGGCTCTGGAGGACATTTGGATGTTCAGGCGTTCACCCTTCCATCCGCGGTTCGGTGCGACCGATCAGACTATCCGCGAGTTGCCCCGGCCGCTGTTGTTCCTCGGTACACGACCCCGGTCCCCATGTCCGCATCTGACCGCGCCGATGACCGACGGGCGAGACACCGAGTCGTTACCGGCAGTAATCCGACGCCGCCGCAGCCTCGTTAGTGTCTGTCGGGCCACGGAAAATCAGCATCATCGCACAGCGAGCTGTAATGGCGCAGAGGGCTCTCACTGTGCCTATTGGACATGCAAACTATGCTGAAAATCAAGGTTAAAGTTTGCGCCTGTAGTCTTGCGTTGAAAAGCAGATAAACTATAACACAAATGTTTTTTATAATGCTAGAAAACGACCAAAAAATGTTAAAAAAGTAAAAAATGTTGAAAAATGAAAAATGTAATAGAAAATTATGAATGTTGAAAACATGAAAAAATAGTGTTAAAAAGCGTTGTGATATTTTTTGGTCTTATTTCACTCTCATTTCATTGTATCATGAGCATAAGGTAATTTTTTTAACACCATAATACCTATTCATAACAAAGCTCAAACTAGCCATAGCTCACATTCAACAAATGTTTTCAACTATAAGAGCTCAAAATATGTCCTGGTTCCATGAACCCGAGAGTCACACAAAGTTACCTAGCACTGAATCATCTAGTCATTTAGCACGAAGCCGGGTCCACGTATTGCAAGAGCACCAAGGCACGACACCGTTTGATCAATGAATCGACTCTAAAATCGCTTTACTTTCATGCTTTGGAGCAATCAATCACGTAATGTCACTATAAAACCTTGGAACGAGTATAAATTACGGCAGGCTTAAACCCGCTCTGTGATGTGCTTTTGTGTGGGTTTTATTTTATCCTTTTTCTAAGGTTAATGCACGCGAATAAAGGCACCATGCTGAAGTCTCAGCAGCGCAATGTGGTGGCTCGCGATAGTTTATTTTGTCGCTAGTCGCTAGTCGGACGTATGCACCATCTGGGCTAATGACCTGATTCAATCTTATAAAAGGGATGCGTTTCTACTCACGGCATTTGGTAACATTTACAGTGCAGATGCCAGGGTTGGCCAATGCGCATCCGAGGTAACGAAACCTTACCTCAGATACGCATTGGCCAACACTGGTTTCACTAAAAATTAAACTGTAAACGTTACCAGACGCCGTGAGTAGGTGGAATTCGTTGCATACAATATCATGCAAAGGTCAAGGTCAAGGTCAGGTCAGGTAACCAAAAACGAAATATAGAAAAGGGCATGTGCGACACATGTTTTATGGGTCATTTTATTCATAGAAATCAATAGGCACACGCACTCAATAAGTGATGTGAACCACATCCGGAGATGAATTTCAGGTCGAGGTCAGGTCAAGGTCAGGTCAAGTGAGGTCAAATTTTGAAGTTGATGTTTAAGACCTAAAAAGGCGGCTAGCTGATGCAGTTTTTCACGGCAATTCGAATGGTGCTATTTTTGTTTCCGTGCGAAGTCTAGAATTTCCCAAAAATTCATTTTTCAAAAAATTTGTGTGCCGTGACGTCATAAAAGTATGAATAACTCCCACATTTTGAACCTATTCTTCTAAACATTGGTATGTAGGTGCACATAAACCACCTCTCTGACATATGGTCCGGTTTTTTTTTGGTACTCAAAGTTTTGGATTTTATCATGGTTTTCCCAAAAAGTCAGTTTTTTAAACAATATTGGGCCAAAATCTAAAATTTTCAAAAACCGAGATAGCCATTTGATAGACAAAGTCGAATCACGTATTCCCTTTTTGGTACGTCTTTATTCCTTTAAAAATGAAGATGTTAGCGGCATTTGAAGTTTCGCCTTTTTTGAGGCAGAAAAGTCGTGACATGACGTCACTTAGGTAAACGTCATCTTCTCAAAAAAAAAAAACGACGAATTTCGCTCAAGTTTGTAGGGAACGTGTTCAATTGATGTATGATAAGGTACTGAATGTTTGACGTCGCTGGCATAACGCGTTTAGAAGTTATTGGCGAAAAACGGGAGGGGGCAGATTCTGACCCCCCCCCCCCCCAGCGGGGC